TTGATTGACTAACTGGTTGATTGATTGATTGGTTTTGGTTGATTAATTGTTTGATTTGTTGATCGACTAATTGGTTGATTGATTGATTGGTTGATTGATTGATTGACTGAGTGGTTGATTGATTGATTGATTGATTGGTTGACTTCTTGGTTGCTTGGTTGCTTGGTTGATTGATTGATTAAATGATTTGCTGTGGGGTGGTCCTCTCCCCCCCCCCCCAATACGCACACACACACACACACACACACACACACACACATGTGGCAAATTATTTATTTACTGATCTATTGATTGATTGATTGATTGATTGATTGATTGATTGATTGATTGATTGATTGATTGATTGATTGCAGGGTCCAGCAGGGACGTTGCCTCCCCCCCCGTGTGTACACACACCAATCAACTGCCATTTCGTCAAAATGGACAGTTTTTATTTTTTTGAATGAAATTGAAACCGAGATTTTTGACCGAAAATTCGTCCTGAGTCGTCCAAATTTGCTGCTCCTGAGGGTCCGGTGTTCTTAAAACGCCGGACCCCCTGAATATATGTGGACTTAGCTTGAGACCAGATACATCCAGGCGGTCCACCTGGATGTATCTGGTCTCAAGCGGAGTCCACATACATCCAGGGGGTCCGGCGTTCTTACGTCCAGGGGTCCGGCGTCTTAAGAACACCGGACCCTAAGGAGAAGCAAATTCGGCCAAAAAAGTCGGTTTCGATTTCGTTAAAAAAATAAAAAATGTCCATTTTGACGAAATGGAAGGTAATCAATCAATCATGATTCTTTTTCTTCCTTTTTTTAATTTTTCAAAAAAAACGGACTTACGTTTTTTTTTTTTTTTTAATACTGGGGGGGTCCCTGCCGCCCCCCTACCTCCTCAGGGGGTCAAACCCCCCACCCCACCCCCCCACCAGGCCCAGGCACGTTCGGACGGGATACGTCCGTATGGCCGTATGCCTGACTGTCTGTCCGTTCAGACGGGCCGTACGACGTACGGGGGACTACACTGCTTGTAGGCGTGGGGCAGACGCATGTGGAAGGTAGGGAAAAACTATGCCGGAGCATAATTGCCTCCAATGCAGCTGCGGTGTGACCCAAAAACACACAATTGTACATCACAAACAAACACAGAAGAAAGGGGAAAGGTAAGACTATGAAGCCAATGGGCAGGGAGGAAACACGCTGCTGGATGCCAATTTGCAAACAAACACAGAAAAAAGGGGTAAGGTAAGATTACGCTATCAATGCTGGCAGGAATCATCCTC